AGGGAATCTTTTACTATACCAATAAAAATTTCCGCGCAACTCGATCTGTCTTCTGGAATCGCACACATTATCAACCGGATTCAGGATCGACAAAAGAGGGTCAGAAATCGAAGGCGAAGAAATCGAAACGTGACTGTCACGAGAAATTGAGGGAAGATTCCAAAAGAGCTTCAAAAACTCATAAAGCCAAGTCATCGGTTCAAATTGATTATGTTGCTTGGGAATCGTACGTGTATGGCCAGTCCATGGGCAAACGGAATCGCTCTCCGAATCCTGTTTTGACAACTAGTCCCAAATCGAGCCGCACGTCGTCGAGCTCGTCTTCCTCGTCTTCACCAATTGCACACAGATCAGCATCTGTTAAAAGCTTTCATGACTCTTCGGCATCTCATAAGCATTCAACTCAATTTGAATCGCAGCCTAGCCACTCACGGCACAAACACAGACACAAATACCGTCGCGAGGTTAGAGAGAGCGCCCCTCCGCCGGAACCACTTCGCCCCCAAATATCAGAGCTCGAATTGTCGAGAAGTTCCAAAGCCGAAAAGCATAGGCTGAAGGAGTCCACTACTATCTTCGCTTATCCTTTCAAGCGCAGCCGAAGCCCCAGAGACAGTAAAGAGCCCAGATCTAGATCTCAGCCACAGGGTTCTTCAGAGCCCAAGCCTCGTGAGCGCCATTCTAGTGATGCTACCACCACTGTAACCGATGAATCGGCAGCACCTAAACTACGTCTATCAGGTCTGTCTTCACGCAACCCATACAGGGAAGAATCTGCGAGTGACCTTTCAGACGACCATTCATTAGAAGAACAAGTCGATGAAACTGCCCCCGATAAGACAATCCAATACACATGAGAATCCGGTTATAAAGCGCGAGACAAAAACCGATCGACTCAAACATTATCGTCTTTATTCTGAATCAGAGGCATCAGATGAGCACGACAATCCTGACGACCGCAGTGATGGCAACTCGGAAAGAAAGAGTGAAGACGAGCTTTCGAGTGCTCTTAACTCAGCAGATAAGCCGACTTCACAAGAATCCGGCGAGTCACGTAGCCTTCGTGCTCCCAGCAAGCCGTTCTACTTTCCTTATATTCAAGGCTGCCGTTCAGTGGAAGAGTTCGAATGCCTGAACCGAATTGAAGAAGGCACTTACGGTGTGGTGTATCGTGCACGGGATAAAAAGATAAATGAAATAGTCGCATTGAAGCGATTAAAGATGGAGAAGGAGCGCGATGGGTTCCCCATCACTTCCCTGCGTGAGATCAACACGTTGATGAAAGCACAACACGAGAACATCGTGACCGTCCGCGAAGTTGTCGTTGGTAGCAATATGGATAAAATTTACCTAGTCATGGATCACGTAGAACACGACCTGAAGTCACTTATGGAGATAATGAATGGCCCGTTCAGTGTTGGAGAGGTCAAATGTTTGCTTCTGCAACTTCTACGCGCAGTCCGTCACCTTCATGATAATTGGATTCTTCACCGAGATTTAAAAACTTCTAATCTTCTTCTCAGCCACCAGGGTATACTTAAAGTCGGTGACTTTGGATTGGCTCGTGAATACGGGTCTCCGTTGAAACACTACACCGAGGTGGTCGTCACGTTGTGGTATCGCGCCCCAGAACTGCTATTGGGTGTCAAGCAGTACACCTGTCCTATCGACCTGTGGTCTGTGGACTGCATTTTCGCAGAGTTTTTGTTGCAGCGTCCTTTATTCCCCGGCAAAGGAGAAGTGGATGAGCTCAACATTATATTCCGGGATTCTTCGGTTTGTCTGTGTAAAATTCTAACCAAAATTCTATGATTGTACACCTAGGCAACCGGTGTGGTTTGTTGAACTGCTTGCTGAGTTCGAATGCTTTACTTGCTCATCGCCATTTTTGCTTGGCGCTCGCTTCGGTTGCAACGCGCAACTGCTCAGTGTGCTGTGCTTGATCCGTTTCCCTAGCTAGAGCGTCCACGGTGTCGTTCGTTTATAGCTAGCTAACAGGGAATCTTTTACTGTACAAATAAAATTTTCCCTGCAACTCGATCCGTCTTCTGGAATCGCTCTCTGGGCTCCCGGAATAGGCAACCCTCTAAAATGTGCACTAAGTTACTTCAGGAACCGTTAAAAAGGTTTGTAGAAGTAACTTGGCACAATTACTTCATTTACTTTGGGACCAAAGCTTCTTCTAACACTGCGTCAACCCGAGATTTTATGTGGCTTCGTACCCGTCAGTTGTACGCGTCTAGTTGCGTGCGCGGACGCAACTGGCCCTTCCATTTGGCTCCTAAACTCTTTTGGCCTATTACTGGTTGTTCCAGGTCAACTGTTCATCGTTCGTTTGTCTTCAATGAGACTTTGCTGTTTAGTAACCTGCGCAACTGTCGCCAATCTTGTGATGTAGTTCCTTTACTGCTTGAACCGTTCACTGAGATTAGCAATCTTGGTGCCCACGTTTCTTCACTTATCGTGTTGACGTCAGCAGTGCGCAGTTGCGTGGCATGCGGTAGCGTTGCACAAGAAACACCGGTTATTTTGTCAGGTGGTTTTTGCGGACCTCAATCGCTTGCTTTCTATGCGGTTGTGAACTAAGTTTGAGAAAGTTGTCTAGTTTACGCACTGCTTGTTAATCGTCTTGTGTTTATTCGGTACATAAAGTGTTCTGGGCGCGGTTAACAAAAGCTACTGCCCACCATACAGCATGCTTGCTGCAAACTCGCACTGGTGGACAAACCTTATGTCGTCTAAACCAATACCATGCTGCTCCAGCTGAATCCATTGCATCCGAAAACACCAGGCGATGCACGCACTCGGATGCATGCTCTTCGCCGAAGTGTAGTGTACCGGCAAGCACGCTCTTTCAGTATATCGTATTACTAGATTTTATGGTTGCTTTTAGCTGCAAAACGTCCACTTGTTTTACTGACTGCACATCCGTTAACGCAAATGGCGTTGGTGAGTATATTGCTGCACCGTTTGTCGCACTGTAGCGCTTTGTAGTCTGCGCAATATCTTTTGGGTTCAGTCGCCTCCAGCTTTTATACTATCCTTATTTGTCACGGCTCTTACGTGTCATTGCTTACCGACAACTATCCCAGGCTTCACTCAGCAACTGGCGACCCCGGTACAGAGCAAGCCGTCCGCTATTTTAAATTCCCATTCTGGGGAGCTCCTTCCAGTGATTTTCTGCTATATTACTTGTGCTCGTATTGCTTTCTGTCTAGCACATGTTTATCCGCTTTCGTTAATGAATTATCTAGTGGATAAGCGAGCACCAAAATCGGTTAGTGCCGTTTTCGCCTGTCATGGTCAGATCTGTTGAGTTAGCCTCTCTTATTTCCGGGAGAGGGATCCTTCGGTTTAGTTTTCGCACCTAGAATTCATTTCTACATCCGTAGGATTTCTTCTGATTGCAGCATGTATACTCAGCTATTATCTCGCTTCCCCAGATTATATCCTCGCTGGTGAGAGCCCTCATACTTTGCCCAACTCTTGTAATCCACTACCGGACGCTTAAACGGGGTAATATTCATCGGATCACCTCTTCTGGCAAGGTCCGCCTGCAGCAACTCTTTAGGGATCTGCAAATAGGACGATGCCCTCAGCCCTTTTGCTCGAAATGCAACAGCGCATCTGCAAGTCCAACATGGGCACAGGGCTTCTCCGGGAGTTGCGGATGCAACGCTTTCCTGAAGGCATGCAGTCTATTCTTGCAGTAGCAAGTGACCTGCTACACACCGTAGTTGCAGATCTAACAGACCGCGTCATCGGACGGCCCTATCCAGAGAGTAAAACCAAAGCGCATAACCAGGTTTGTGCGGGCGCAACCATAACGACAAGCGCGACCGGCCATCCGCCAGCAATAGACGCATTCTCGTTGCAGATAGCGTCGCTTTAGCGCCAGGACGTGGAATTCACTTTAATCCCTAAGCAATGCAGCCAATCTGGATCAATGTCTGTCACACAAAACCTGATGCCCCAGGTTACTGCTTTTACCACTTGCGTTTTGGCACTAAAGTCCGTAAGTGCGTACAGCCAAGTAGCTACTCCGCTAGAGATAGTACGCCGGACCGGCCCGCAATGGCGACGGACGGTGTCGACAAATCCCAAAGTCGCCTCAGCTATATTGGTGAACATCATTCAGAGAATCAGTTCTTAGTTAATGCCGGGACGGAAGGCGGTATCATTCCCCGTATGCAAGGTGAGCCAATCCTTTCTTTGTCGACGAGCCGACGTGCCACCAATAGCACGCAAATTGCCACCTACGATCATCGGTCGCTTACCTTGGAACTAGGTCCTCGGCGCACGTGCCGCTGGAAATGCACCGTCGCTGCAGGCACTTTTTGTCATTGTCGGCATTGACCTTCTAAGGCATTTTGACCGCTTGGTTGATGCGAAACGCCAGGTGGGAGTTGACACCGCAACAGAACTCAATGTACTTGGAGTCACCGCCGATATCGCATCTATAACACCAGTCTGCTACTTTCCTACGACCTCGCCAGACTACGCTAACCTTTTATGCCAGTATTCCAAGCTAGTTCAGCCAATGAACGCAGCTTTGCCCACACGCACCCCAGAGAGACGAATGGCCTACCGGTCTCATGTCGCCCGCGCCGACTTTCACCCGAGGAACGAGAGTCTGCAATGGTGCAGTTTGAACACACGCTCTAAGTAGGCATACTTCGCCCTTCCGACATCCCTTGGTCCTCTCTCCTGCAGAGGATACCCGAGAAAGCTTGTGACGTGCGCCCTTGCAGTGATTACCGCGCAATCACTCAGCTAACCGTCCCAGATAGGTATCCCATCCCACACATGCAACACCATGCCGCGTGACTCACAGTTATGACGATCTTCAGCCATATCGATCCAGTACACACCTATCTCCAGATACTGGAAGAAGAACATGACAACCCTAAAACAGCCGTTATCACACGTTTCGGCTTGTTCGAACTTTTAAGATTGTCTTTCCGTTCCTGAGAATCCTGACTAAGTCTTCCTCCGAGCCAACTGATAAGCAGGTGTCCCATGACTGCGACTAGCTGCTCGGAAAATCGGTCCTACAAAAGCGTTAGTATTTCAATCTTATATACATTGTGTTCAACGGCAGTGTTCCAGGAAGTCGTGGGTTTGAGCTTGGCAAGCGTCTTCCCTATAAACAGCCACAGATATCTGTTTAACGACACTGCGACGTGGCCGATGTGACCCGCCATGGAACTAAACTCACTGCCCACTGCTTTACACGAAGAAGGATCCCAATACCCCAATTTTGCGAGCAAGTGTTTAGAAAACACTATCGGACTCCTGCGCCTATGGATAAACTGAGATTGATCTCCGGTACCATTCAAACCTGCACCCAGCATTTCCATAACCGAAACACTCAGTGATCGTACGGCGCTGCGGCGCCACCTTACCCTTTTGACACCAGTGCTACAGCTCTTCATCCCTGCATCATTCCTGTGCAAAATTATGTGCAATTTTCATGTCATGTATTTTACCGACACGTATTTCAGTGATACGAATACGTCGCAGCACCATTACCCCGCGAAACCTATTGAGCAATAAATCGTTTAGGGTCATTGTATAGCATGATTCCCGGCCATCTTTCTGTCTTTGCAGTTTTATTCAATTCTGCGCAAACGTAAGATTGCAATTGTTTAAATGTGTCGGGAACCAGCTACGCGGTTATAACGGTATTTTCGAATCCGTACGCCATGGAGTCTGATTTCCGGAGAAGCTTCCTTGGGCGTTATTTTGACAGATTTGATGAGCTCAATAGTTTGTTATCAGAATTTATGCTTCTTCATTATGTCAAGTTCGTCTGCTACAGCAGCAGAAAGTGTAGCGTTTTGCGGGTGAAGTATGAAAGGGGCATTTGTCGATGTGTGTGCTGCGTACATCGCAAGTCAAAAAGTACAGGAATGAGACGTGTTTAGTAGGCTTTTGCTTCTATTACCTAAAATCATTCAGCTCACGTGATATTAACCTCAAAGCTCGCGTAAACCCCATCAGTACTGGACGCAAGCTGAAAGTCACAAACTTCGACCAGTCTCCCGATCACCCAGTTAACCGCTTTCTTTTTGAGCGACACCCCATTAATCGCCGTCTGACGGACAACGAGTTCAGTCAGTCCTTGGACCTTTCCGCTACAACACACCAACAGGCGACATTAAGCAGTTCATCGAGGTTCGATTCGAAAAGCACAGTACCAGCGATGATGTCCCCAAGGTTCGTCGTAAATTGCGATCTGGCGTTACGTGTAAGCTAATTTTGCTGGTTTTTACTATCTGCAGTCAAGTTGCATCAGTTTAACATTCTATGGAGGAAGACGGAGTAGCGCGAATTATTTCAGAGGAAGGACTTTGCACACGCGTGTTATTCGTTTGGCAGCAACACGAAGTTTGAAACTGTTCGTTTTCGACTTTTTGTTGGTTATTCTGACGTTTTGTTACTATTCAGTAGAATAGTTAGACTACCTTTCTTGTCATACTATCTTGTTTCTAGGGAGAATTAACGTGGGCAACAGTGTTAGAGTAAACACTGATAACCGAACTTGACTTACCACTCTCCCGTCAGATCCAAGTAAGAAAATGCGAGCAAGGCAGTCTGTGCACAGACCTGCTAACAAATTGGCTAAACTAACTAAGCCACAACCTGATAATACTGACGCAGCCCCAACTTCTGACTGCAGAGTAATCCTATCAGATCCACTGAAAGAGGCACATGATAAAATTAACTTTCTTGAGATCGAATTGAGCGCACTCAAAAGCAACATCTCTGTACTG